TCAGTTTAGTCCTGGATTTATTCTTATTTCGCTTTCTTATCGCTTTGTCGCCCACGTGTGATAAGGTCCTTAAAGTGGATTCAATTTGCATCATTTCTGGCAGTCTGCAAAGGCCCCAAGTAAATAAGCCACCAGAGATCCTTGAGACAGTGTGATCCTCTTCCTTGACACCATCTCACAAAACTGCTTAGTGTCCAGTTTCACACAGCTGTGAGTCATCAAAGGCTACAAAATCAAATGTTGTGAGGTTAACAGTACAATTCTAAACTTTCTTTTTACTTTAAAAACAGATCTAACTGGATTCAATAAGATTTGGTCCCATGCAAGCCACCACAGCCTGTTTGATCTTGGAAGTTAAGCAGGGTCAGCCTTTCTTAGTACTTGGATGGGAGACCTCCAACAAACACCAACAAATATAGGCTATATTTGAGAGGAAGGAACTGGCAAAACCATCTCCAAGGATTCCTTGCCTAAGAAAACCATAGGAAATTACTCAGGTTGCCATAACTTGAGAGGAAACCTGAAGGCACACACATACACAGTCACAAATATGCACAGGAGCAGTAATCCTATACATTTTTTACCTGGGAGTCTGTCCCATTAAACTCAGCACAACTTACTTCAGAATGGCTGTGCCTAGGACTAGTCTGTAAGTGATGTATCTGCATGTGTGAGCCAGATCTCTAATCCACATAGTTCCAGTTAGTTTGTGGGAATTGAGCAATTGTTGTTGTTAACTCCTCTCATGATGACCCCGACTCATGGCAACCCTGTGGATGAGACATCTCCAACCCCAACCCCAACCCCAACCCCAACCCCCCCCCCCCCGTCCTCCACTGCTCTGCTCAGGCTCTATAAATTCAGACCTGTGACCTCCTTAATAGAGTCCATCCATCTAGCATGTGGTCTTCCTCTCTTTCTGCTTCCCTCTACCTTTCCTAGCATTATTGGCTTTCTTAATGAGCCATGCCTTCTCTTGGTGTGGCCAAAGTACGACAGCCTCAACTTGATCATCTTGGCTTCCAGTACAAGTATATGACATTGATATAAGATTAAAATGTGTGAGCTGACACTGTATTTTCTTTCTGTATTTTCTCTTTAATCCAATCACAGGCATACCTCAGCTAACACAGCTTCTAACAGAGAAGCTCCTACCCTCCTCTTCCTCACCGTTAGCATGGGAGTATGGTGAAGGAAGGCTGAAGAAACAGATTATGGGGGGTCAGAATGGAGGAGCACATCCACAGTAAACAATGCAATGAAGCTTAAGGCAAGGGTCTTTAGCTAATCCTACTGTAGCTGTGTGTGTCTGCCTACAATAGGCAAGGTAAAAATCAGTTTTCTCCAGAACCCCTTCCTAAGCATGCATGAAATACAAAGAGGCAGAACAGATAAACTTGACTTTCCAGCTCCCCACAAGTAGGTAAAAAAAAAAAAGAGTAGGTTTGGCTTCCAAAATGAAAATCATAAGATAGATAGAGGCTGGTGAAAGAACAAAAGTGTCCCTGGATGCATTTTGGAAGAAGATTTAAAGTAGTTCCTAGAATGTTGAAAATGTTTTTGTTTACTTATGCAAGGCTAACTTGAACCTCATTGTTTCATTTCAAATGTGCATGCTGTTAATTTTGGGTGAAAAGTTGGCTGAAACTTATTGAACTGCATTTCTTTTCTTTTTCTCTTTCTTTCTTTCTTTTCTTTTTTTGGTGTAGGAACCTATCCCTATTTTTTCCATGTTATTTCTGTCTCTGGTGTTAGGACTTAATGCCAAGGAATGCATCTACTTTGCTAACTGAGGTGTACTTGTAACATTAACAAGAATCCTTGCATTAATCTTTGTTTTAAGCTTTGCAGACTATGTTTGTTTATTTTTAGTTTGCCTCTAAGCATAAATGCCATACATATCACATGCACTGCTGTTGGGTGGGGACTGAGGGCACTCTAGTCCAAAAAATGACTTTCTTCATCTCTGAATAAGCTTATAAACATGCTAGTGTTCAGTACCACTTGCACTGAGAAGGCTGTGGCAACTCCGTCTTCTCAAATGCCTAAGGACGTTATCACACGTGAGCCAGAAAGCGATAATAAAGTGGAAA